AAAACAAGTCCTAGAACATGCTGGAATTAAGCTACAAAAGGCTAGAAAAATATGCTAACACATGGCATAAACTAGGCTAGTAAACAAGACACAAGGAGGGGAGGCTAACCTCTCCAAATTCGGATTTCAAAACATGATTTTATCCACTAAAATTACTCTGAAAATTAGTGTTTAAAAGCTCCAAAAAAGATGGTTTGAAAGTGGGAAACAAAGGTGGAAAGGCCTTGCAAGCAAGGAATAAAGAAGGGTGAACCACCCCCTATCTTTAAATGGCCTACAACCCCAAATTTCAGCCCACAAAGACGGAGTTTTTATAGTCCAAAAATAGTGGGAAAAAGATAGAAAAACAAGTATGCAAAGCAAGCTAAAAAGGCAAGTATTATACTTCTTGAAGCAAAGAGTAATTTCAAGCAACAAAACCAAGTAAGTACACCCTCTAGAGCTCAAACCAAGCTCAAGAACACCTTAGGTCAAAGATGAGAAGATTTGGTTAAGGGTGTATAGGCAAAGGTTTAGGAATTGGAGGCTAAAGTGTAGAGATTTGCTAGAGAGCGAGGAAAATTTTTGAGTTCAAAATTTTCTAACCTTGCTACAAGAGAGGGGGTCCCTATATATAGAAAATATGAAATTCCCCCAAGGATATCTTGCACTACACGTGGGGATAGATGGGTGCATTTGTGCAAACAGCTGGCATAAAATATCTACAAAATACACTGGTGGCCGGCCGACCATCAGTGGTGGCTGGCAAGCCATCACTAGTGGCCGGTAAGCCACATCAATGGCTAGCACCAGGTTGGCAAGCAAAAAGTGATAGCCAGCAAGCCTCTAGCAGTGGTCGGCAGGTCACTAGAGGTTGCAGACTGAAAAAGATAGGCTTGGTCCAAAGCCGGGTTTGAAAGGCTATCAGGGTTTACGAGGCTCAAAGTTGTGGCATTCCGCTGAGGACTTCGAGCACTTGGCGAGCAAACAGACTCATCATCGGGTGTCCATGTGAGGACGTCCAAGTCGTAAGGGTCGTAAAAAATGGGGTGTCTACACTTGGTTGATGGATCCACAAGATTATCACAAGATTTTACATAATTCACAATTATGATGCTATTACTCAAATAGGATCTCACATTACTGTGTTTCATTCGAATAGGTTTGGATTTACCATTATAAAAATGATTGTTCATTCTACCAATAGCAGCAGTGCTATCATAATGAATTAACACAGGAGGAATTGGTTTTTTCCAAAAAAGGATTTCATGTAACAAATTTCTCAACCAATTCGTTTCCTCACATGCTGAAGCTAACACTATAAGCTCAGCTTCCATAGTAGAATTAACAATTATAGTCTGTTTTTTAGATTTCCAACATATAGCACTACCACCCAAGGTAAAAATAAAACCTGAGGTAGAGAGAGAATCACCTGACAAAGTGTTCCAATTGGCATCACTATATCGCTCAAGTATCGCAAGATACTTGGTATAAAACAAACCATAATTTTTGGTACCAGATAAATATCTTATAATTCTTCCCATGACTAGCCAATGATCTCAACTTGGCTTGCTAGTAAACCTACTAAGTACTCCAACAGCATGTGCAATGTCAGGTCTAGTATAGTCAATAACATATCTCAAACTACCAATCATGCTAGCGTGTTACAACAGATAAATGTATGTTTGCATTAAAAAGAATAGCAACATGTTTACAGTTTAGAAAATTATATTTCTTTAAAATTTTCACAACATAATGCGATTGATCAAGAAAAATGCCATCATTAGTCTTGGTAATTTTAATTCCGAAAATAAAATTGGCTTCACCAAGATTTTTCATATCACAGTAACTATTAAGCATATTTTTAGTCTCATTTATAATATGCAAATTAGAGCCAAAGATAAGTAGATCATCCATATATAAGCTAATAATCACATGTGCATTCTCATAAGTTTTATAATATATGCACTTATCACATTCATTAGTCTTATAGCCATTCTCAAGCATACAAGAATCAAATTTCTCATGCCACTGTTTGGGAGCTTGTTTTAAACCATAAAAGGGATTTAGTTAGCTTACATACCTTGCTTTCTTGGCCAGGCTCCACAAAGCCTTCAGGTTGGTCCATGCAAATCTCCTCATCTAGATCTCTATTTAAAAATGTTGTTTTCACATCCATTTGATGAATTTTTAAATCATGAATTGAAGCCACTGTTATCAACAGTCTAATGGATGTAACTCTAGTAACCGGAGAAAAAGTATCAAAGAAATCAAGATCAACCTGTTGCTTAAAACCTTTAGCGACAAGTCTCACTTTATTTTTATCTATAGTTCCATCCGGTTTAAGTTTTTTATGAAGGACCCATTTACACCCAATAATTTTACAACCTGGAGGTAAATCCACTAGCTTCCATGTTTTATTTGAAAGTAGTGAATCTATCTCATCATTTATAGCCTCTCTCAAAAAAATAGCATCAGGTGATGATAAAGCTTCTTGTACCATAAGAGAATTTCTTCCATATTGTAAATATAATAGTCAAAGTCAAAATATTTTTCAACTCTATCTCGTTTACTCCTCCTTGGTTGGATTTGTGAATTTTCTTGTTTTTGAAAAACTTGAGATGGAGTAGAAGAGCTAGGTATGGATAACATATTTTCAGAAATTATTTGACCCCCACTATTTCTAGATTTGAAAGGAAATTTATTTTCATGAAAAATAGCATCATTTGATTCAAAATAATATTATTTTCCATATCAAAAAATCTATAAGCTGTATTATGCAATGCATACCCAAGAAAAGCGTAGGTGGTAGCTCGTTCACCCAATTTAGGTCGTTTAGGATTTGCAAGCCTCACAAAAGCTAAACAACCCCAAACCCTCAAATAACCTAGATTTGGTTTATGCCCTCGCCACAACTCATAGGGTACAATTTTAGTTTTTTTGTGTGGCACTCTATTTATCACTTGGCAAGCTGTTAAAATAGCCTCGTCCTAAAGATTTGAGGGAGCACCTGAATCAACAAGCATAACATTCGTCAAATCAATTAACGTTCTATTTTTTCTTTCAGCTATGCCATTAGATGAAGGTGAATGTGGTGGAGTAGTCTCATGAATAATTCCCAATGACTGAATAAAAGAGTTGAATCCTAGAGATTCATACTCTTGGCCTCTATCACTTCTAATTCTCTTAATCTTTTTATCGAATTGATTTTCCACTTCAGGAAGGAATTCTTTAAATTTCTCAAAAGCATCACTTTTATTTTTTAATAAATATAAGATTGTATATTTTGAAAAATATCAATGTGGACGTCCCCGAACGCCCCGGGAGGATGAATCCCGTCCCGTTTTGTTCATTGGGCTTACTACAGTTCAGGACTCAAAGTCACGGTCCTGTATCTAATCTCGCAGAGTGCAATGCAAGACCGATGAATCATCAAAGAGTCCAAATCCGGCAAATCGTTTTTGAAAACAGATTTTTTGAAAGGAGTGCCAAACATGGACTGTTTTGCCAGATACAGAGTCGCCACCTAAATATTTTATTTTGGAAAATTTAGGAAACCTTGACTCGTTGCCTAAGGCCACGTGTCCGTCATCACCAAAGTTGCCTCGGCTCGGGAACTTGGGTACGATTGGGGAAGGTCAGCTATGAGCACCCCCTCTCGCCCGATCCGAAGATCGGCCTCTACTAACCATGATATCGATTTTTGAAAACATTATGTGCTCTTATTCCGGTTGTTAGCCTAGATTTACTATGTTATGCTCACATCATACAAGTATAGATTGGATCGCCTGAATTGGAACAAAACATTGCATATTCGTTTGTTTGGAAATGTTTGAAGTTTGCTACTCGCAAGTAGGCTAAAATGCGAATTTCAATGAATTATCCCAATTCAAGTAATCAAACCTTCACCCACAGGCATTCAAGCAGGTATATCACATAAGAATATAGCCACATGGTAAGCATGCTGTCATGTTAACAATCACACTCATGCGAGATGCTAAAGCATAAATACTTACATCGTACTCTGCGCCAAAACAGAGAACTCGTTAGCAATCATGCATGATCCAAGTCCATGTTAAGTGCCTAATGTATTGCATACAGAATGCAGTCTAGAATAGGCTCGGCTAATCCTAGGACGACATGTGAAATGCAACAGATAACACGTATTCAAGTTAGATTTGAAATACTATGCAGTTAGTATGATGCGCCGAGCCCGATGCATGACCGTTCCCCTTATGTGTTCTATCTTCATTGGCCCGTGTCTGTGACGCGCTTATAAGCCGTCTTTCATCTGTCTGCGCCGTCTGACGCATGCGTTCCTCCAGGCGCAATAAATGCCCTGTTTTGCCGCCGTTTCAAGTTTTTGATAAAACTTTACTCTCTTTCTTCGTTTCTTCACTTTTGCACTTGATTTTCTGTCTTTCTCTCTCTCTCCCAAATCTGCCATTGCTCTAGCTTCAAGCTCTGCAACCGTCTTCATTCTTCCATTCCAGCGAAGCTTTCGCCGTTCCGTCGTGTCTGCAACCGTGCCTTACCTCGGCGTCTTTCATTCCGGCTTCATTTGTTCTGGTAAGCCTTTGTTCCTCTTATTCCCAATTTCTTCTATGTGCTTTCATTTACTTACTGCCATTATTGCTCTGTTCAAACTTTTGATTTGCTAAACTATTTATCTGGATGTGTCTATTCGATGATTTCAATCATATTTTGAACACTTGCACTGTTTCAACACTTTTCTTGCCACTGTTCTTGACCTTTTACTTCTGTATTTCTTTCGCTTCTGAGAACCATACCTCTCTTCTTTGATTCTGAAACGTCGTTCTTTGTTTCTTGTTTTCCAGATTTCTGCCTTTAATTTTTGTCTTCATAGATTTAGGTTTGGGTTTTGTCTATAGAACCTTCAATTTTTAGGGAAAACTGAAACAATCCTTACCAGTATATACCTAGGGTTTCGCCGAGGTCCCGATAACCCCTTAAGAGCACCTTCTTTCCGAAATCTAGCCTTCTGTCTTTAGGCCGACGTCATGGGTATGTGGAGACATAGGGTTAATACCCCGACCAAACTTGAGTACTTTAGGCAGGAGTTCTCCGTCCCTGCCGATGTCCACCTGAAACTGGCTGGGGATGATGACTCCATCATACCTACCGAAAACACCATGCCTCTCCCTATTATAGCCTTTACTGAGTGTGGACTTCGACTTCCGCTTAACATTCTTTTTCGCGAGATTCTGCATTATTATAAGTTGAACCCTATGCAACTTGCCATAAACTCTTATCGAGTGATTTTTGGTATCATCGCCTTAGCCAAACAAGAAAACGTTAGAATCACCCTAGCCGACATACAGTATTGTTACACCATGTGCCCCCTTAGCCTGAAGGAAAAAGGTTACGTCTACTACCTCAAGCTGAGGTTCACTGAATTCAAAATCGTAGCCGACCTCTCAGACTCCAACAAGGGGACTGGAGATGACTACTTCATTGTTTCTGGAAATTGGGAATTTGCCCCAGACGAAGATGTCCATCTATTCCCTCTTCCTTGAACGGTTAAAGAGGGCAAGGGTAAGAGCCCAATGTTATTTACTTAGTTGTTTCTTTTCAAGTCTTCAATATCTTATCTGTTTCTAATGTCTGTTTCTTCTTGCAGACGTTCGCAAACCAGCAAAAGACTTTCGCCAATCTTACGTTCCTAGCAAGGACCTGAAAAAGCTCCTGGACTTGCCTGTCCATAAAAGGAAAGCACCTCTTCTTCTGAATTTTATTCCTACGTACAAATCCACTCTGCCCGACGTCCCGAAGAAAAAGAAGAAGAGTATTTCTCCACCTTCTGCTACAACTCTTCCCACTGTTTCCACATCACGAGCAGACCAAGGATCCACTTCTGACCCAGCTGATCTGTCATCTACTTCAACCTCATACTTAATCCCAATACCAGAAAGAAAACGTCGGCGACGACTTGTCAAGACTGCTGAGATGGGTCGCCCGAAGCCTATTACTATTGATCTCTTAGCCGACCTACCTGCCGATGTTGATGCTGTTCCAACTCAGTCCATGCCCCTACCAAAGCCAAAAAGAATAAAAAAGGCTCAGCCCAAGGCCAAAGCTACTGAGGCTGAGGCTGAGGATGCTCTGCCCATCTCACAATTGGCTGAGAGTAAAAAGAGTGCTTCTGCTTCTGCCAAGAGGTCTGCTGAGGCCCAGTCGTCAGAGTCCACTCAATCGAAGAAGCCGAGGTCATCGTCTGCGACGACCTCGGGTTCCAAAATACCAAGAGTCCTCTGGGTGCCTGAAATCACCCTGGAAGATAAGCCTGTTCTAGCTTCTGAAAGTGCCGAAGACATAAACGTCGGTATGGCACTCAGTACTGCTGTCCTCTTTCCTGGTGATCTTGAGCGAAATGCCAAGATGAGCGAGTACGAGAACTACGCCTTCATGCTCCAACGCTCTGTACAAGTAAGTTTCCCCATTTGGTAACTTGTCTTTCTGTCCCTTTTTCTATACTTGCAAGGTTTGTGTAATAACTTTTCCCTTGGGTTCTTTCAGGCCATTCAACATGCCCATTCTCTCTTCATGCAAGCTTTTGAAACAAGGGAGAAGTTGGCCGATATGAGGCGGGAGGTTTCTGCCTTGAAAAAGGAAAACAAAACTGTTCTGACAAAGATGAAGAAGCTGGAAGATCAGGCCGAAGCTGCCACTAAGGCCCAACAGATGGTTGAAGAAAAAGCGAAGTCTGCTGAGGCTATCAGAAAAGTTGCCGAGGCCAAGAAAAAAGAGGCCGAGGTAAAAAAGGCCCAAGCCAAAAAAGAGCTTCAGAAGGGTCTGGCCACCAAAAAAGCCGAAATCAAAGAAGCTGATGAGAAGGCTTACGCCCAGGGGATGGCCGACGTCACTGAGGAATATAAACTTCAAGTCAAGCAGGCATGCAACAGGGGCTTCTCTCTTGGTTGGATGGCCCTTGCCAAGAAGCTTAACATTCTTGACGATTCGCTACTGCGCAAAGCCGACGCTATTCCTCTGTCGTTCCCCCCACCTCCTTCATCAAGTCAACCTGAAGGAAAATCTGAATCTGAGTCTGAAGGTGAGAAGGAAGGTGAGGACGAGGCTTTAGTAAGGAAGTCCAAAGAGGCTGGTGAGATCAAGTCCCCTCCTCAGGATGATCAAGTCCTAGACTTGACTCATAAGGAGGATGAGGAGGTTATTAAGGAGACCACTCCTGAGCAAGCGTCATCTGATGTTCCTCCAGTCGGCAAGAGCGTTGATGAAACCCTTGCTGAGATCGACGCCGAGATTGCTGCAAATAAAGAAGCCGAGGTATCTCTTCAGGAGACTTCTCAGGTTCAGATCCAGCCAGTTGCTGATGCTGAAAAGTCTTAGCTTTCATGTCTTTTCTTTTGCACCCTTGTACTTTGTTTTATTTTTTGGACAATGTAAGCTTCCTTTCATGGCCGATGTGCCTTTCTTTTGTACACAACTGCAAGTTTTTCTATGGATGCTTTAATCTTTAAATTTCTCTTAATTTGCTTCTACATAGTTCTATACTTAGAATATTTTGTATGCCTTTCATACTTTGCCATCTTTGTGCAATCTTCTCGGGGTTACATATCTCGGGTGTAATAACTACAAGCTTTACTTCGGCAACATACTGACCTGCAATCTTTTCATAAATTTTAACAAGTATGAAGCATATACTCTTCGATGTTTAACTTTTGCAAACTTTTTCTCAAGTTTCAACAAGTATTTAAACAGTGATCTTGGTCTAACCTACTTGTAAATTGCTACAAATTTCAACAAGTGTTATATACTGTAAATTTTTCTCAAGTTATAACAATGATTTACTTGTAAATTGTTACAAATTTCAACAAGTGTTTAAACAATATGCTTAGCTTTTACCTCAACCTGTAAATTGCTACAAATTTCAATAGATGATCGCAAACAATATCTCGGCTTAACTTCAACTTGTAAATTGCTACAAATTTCAACAAGTGAATTAAGGAATAATCTCGGCTTAACTTCAACTTGTAAATTGCTACAAATTTCAACA